TTCATTTACTTCCTAGTGGATTTCGCATTTACTTTCAGTTAGTGGATTTTAAAAATAGTAAAGTTGAAAGCAAAACTTTGCCAACGAATCATCAAGCAGTAGTGAAAAGTTGTCTTAGTTTGCTCAAAACAGAATTCGGAGAGCTAAAAATGCTTGAACGGCAAAAATTGTCTTTTTTTCAAAAAAATATTTTTTGATTACGAAATATAAGTTGGTTTTTGAATTTCTAAAAAGTAAGCACTGCTTGCATGGAGGGATTGGCTTACATTTTATCAAATAAACATGTGGTAAATATACATTCGATTTTGCTTTTTTTGCTTTTGAGCGTAACTAAAATCCAAACAGTTGAGCGGATAATTTATCACTGAAACAATTTGTCCTCATGGTTAGCTGCGCATCAGAAGAATCAAGAACTTCGGTAAGCATGGGAAAATCGAAGCAAAGTATCTTGCTGTATTTGTGTAGCTTAAGTGTTTCAGTCTTTTAACAAATACTAGAAAATTATGACTGTGGCTTTTTAGGCATTGTACGTATGCAGGTCCATCTCTTGAAAACAGTCCATACTTCTGGAACTTGTATTTCAGCTAAAATTTTGTTAATAAATATTAAGCTGTACGCACTGTGGCTAAAGCTTGAAAGCGGACATGCCCGTAACCGTAGTACATTTCAGCTTTTTGGGAAAGCAGCAGAAAGTGGTGCATTCGAAAAGAGCAGCGACAAAATAACGCGAAGCCTTGGTAAACTGATCAAAGATGGTGAAACACCAGAATTTGTTGGGAAAGCAGTTGTTGCTCTGGCAACAGATCCGAACGTGATGAAGAAAACTGGCAGAACATTAATAGCAGCCGATCTGGGGATCGATTACAAGTTTCGGGATATTGACGGACGTCAGCCGGACAGTTTGCGTGGATTTAAAATGCTCCTTGGTCAAGTGGGCCTGGCTAACATCGGCGCTTATTTCCCAGCATGGTTGCGTGTTCCTGGCTGGCTGATGACAGCTATCAAAAGCCGTCTGTAAATAACCAATGTAATTTTTTTGCTTCTTACTGATTATTCTTCTTGAAAAAACAAAATTGTTTTTTGTTTGTAAACTTCAAACCTTGTTTTGTGCAGATCTGTGCTGTAATCCGGGGGAAGTACTCGCTTAATTTGATAATTCTTTAAAAAGGATTAAGCCTCCTTCAGATTTTTTGAAGACTCTTGCGGTGCACATAAATCCAGTGAAACTTGTACGCCTTATCATATCACCTTTTGCTTGTGTTGTCCTAGAGTTGCTTAACTGCGCTAAATTTTTCCGTTATAAGGTCCTGGCTCCTGCATACTTCGCAGAAAAAGATTTCTAATGGATTTTGTCTTTTTTATGCATTTTGAATATTTCGTGAAGGTAGCCTTTTTCACTGAACTGGGATTAGCTTGGAAGGCCTAAATTCGGGTTGTTTGCTCCTACTTCTGTGAGCACACAGCCCGATTTCGGTCACTTCCTTACGATTTTCCGTTCGCATTTCTTTGTTTCTCTTTTTTTTTTGTAAAGTTGTAAATCATCTGCATTTACGTTGCTGTGACATTTTCAAAATTTCATGAAATTTAGATTGTGGAGTTGATCCGAGTTTTTGTGCCTCAATTTCACTGTTACTGTGCTTCTTCATCTCTCTTTTTCCCAACTAATAAAGTAATATTGCAGTTCTTGTTTGGCCAGGAATTTTCCACACTCAAGCAGATAGAGACAGTTTTGTAATGTTACATAGGATTCCAATCGTAATCATTAGGGTGCTGGATGGTTCACTTTCCTTTTTGAGCCATATTGCCCAAAGGAGCAGCTAAATGTACCATATGAGGCTCTTTTGAAACTTCCTAATGTATTACTCATAGAAAATTCAGCATACATATATTACCCGCCAAATCAGTAAACACTACGTATGGGACGAATTTCGTCAAATGTTTTACAAAGTTCAAATTATATATTTATAAAGTATCTGTATTTGGCCTCCTATACAGTAGAAATTATCTGGGGGAGCTGCCCTACCGAGGATTTGTGCCATCTTGCAGTTGGCAACTGCCGCTGTACTAATGAGCTTGTTTTATGAATCACAGCCGTTTACAAGAACCATTTTTACCCTATAAGGCCCAAATTTTAAATTGCTCTTCGTTTATGTTTTAATGGGTCACCGGTGTGTATCCGGCTCGTCAGACACTCATGTATAGTTACACGCAAAAATCTTCCTTTCAAA